CGACAAACAACAACAAGTGTTTCTTTTAGTGTTATGCACTTTTTGAAATATTGTCATTTCAATGGGTTCTTTGGGGAAGGGGCGGTCACCGAAGCAGCGAAATTCAAAGGACAAAACGAGGAAGGGATTATCGGTAACAAAACTCCACGTCAAAGCGATGTTCTTCTCTGTGAGCAAGAGCAGTTGGTTGACGAGAAAATGATTATTGAGGACAAGACGGGAGAGTATGACAATAAGAAAACGGAAGTGGAAAAGAAGCCGAATAGGATTGTCTCCTTTTTTATGAGGAAGAAAACCATTTTTAACTCGACGAACATTGTGATGGCTCTTCTGTTTTTAGTTGTTGTATTCATCGCAGTTTGGGCGTCGTTAGAGAATTCAGTTGAGGTGTATGTGAAAGGGCCATTGGTTGTATTTGTGTTGTCGTGTGTTGTAGGCGCGTTCATGGCAAGAAGAATCATCTCAGCGATACACTTACCAACAGTCTTGTTATTGTTGTGCATTTCTGGTTCTGTTAGTTATACGTGTCTGACGAATTTGCAGGAATTCAATACTCCAACCACAAGTTATAAAAAGTACGGACCCATTGTGATGGACTTAGTAGCAGTGTTTTTGGCGATGACTGTGGTGACTAGTAGTGTCATACTTGCTCTGAGGACGGTCAAACTTTATAATTAATACCTGTTGTTTTCGTGTTAAGTATTTATGAAGTGTTGTTTCTAATGCAAAGAACTTACTTTATTAGTTTGTATTTCACCACCAAATTTCGATTTTTTTCTTCTTGTTTTGTTTTTTTTAATAATCAAATACCGAGTAAAGTCCACAAGCCAATAGAATTAAAAATACTTGTGATACGTTGGATTATGTTGTTAATTTACAATCATAAGCCAATAACGGAAGGAGTTATTCGTTAATAGCAAAAGAACTAAACGAATTCTTGAAATGAAAACCCAAATAAAACACACATTTTTTTGCTAAACACCCCCAAAATTTTCTTGAAAAGAATCAACCAAACACTTGGTTTTGAAAATAAAGGTCGCCTCTTAAAATACCGTAATAGTTCCTATTTTTTATTAGAAACTTAAAAGTTAAAGGTTGATGACTAGTTCGATCGACCTCTTTCAACGTCTCTTTATTTGTCCCGAAGGTTACAAACTCATGACGGAAATATCACGAGGGATGTCTGCGGACTCTCTACAGTTTGTCAGGGATGTTATCACCTTTTATGAGGCACACAAACAAACAATGCATTTTCTTTCCTTCTTGATCACTGATGAGATGCAAAAAGCAACAAATGGGTCGATGTTTCGTGGCAACTCGTTTTGTTCGCGGTGTTTGACGATGTACACGTTTATTACAATGTCAAACCAATACGTCGTCAATTTTTTGAAGGAACCAATGGACGAAATATTCAGTGGAAAGTATGGCTCTCTTGAGGTCGTTCCAGACATAGGAACAGCAAAGATTTTAGAAAGAATCGAAAAGCTCAAAACATGTGTGTCTAAATTCATCGCATCGATCATCGAAACATCAGAACTGTGGCCAGAGTCGTACCGCTACATCTGTTATGTTCTCTACAATGAAACAAAAAAACTCAACATCATCAAGCCGATTCAGTCTATTGGTGGCTTCCTTATACTTCGTCTGATATGTCCTGCTATAGTCCAACCTCACAAAACGGGATTTTGTCTTGAAAAACCATCTGACGAAGTGATGAGGAATTTGGTTGTGGTGTGCAAAATAGTCCAATGCATTTCTAACGCGACTGCTCCGCATGAACCGCTCTTAAAAGGGTTAGAGTCGTACATATCACAGGAGTCTCTAAAACTCGAAGCGGAACTTGAACGGGTCTTTTCTGTCCGACCCAGCAAATTTTCATTTGTGCCGATCAAAGATAAGGACCTTGAAACCGCGATCAACGGAATTCTATCGCTTTGGGCGGAGAACCAGAAAACAGTGACTACGTACTTGCAGGAGAACGCGCGGCAAGAGTTTAAAGAACTTGCTGAGGCAGTTATGCTTTTCAATAGCAAAGAGTATGTGAGTAAAAAGAGTGTAATGAAGAAGAAGGCTAAAGAAGATGAGGCGATCCAACAACTCTTTGCAATAGCAAGGAATGGAAATGTTGTTGATTGCGAGAGTGTGCTGAAAAAGTACCCTGAACTGATCGACTGCACTGACGTGGATATGATGACTCCATTGCACTATGCATTTGTGTTCAAGAACACCGAGGTTGTATTGTATCTCTTGAAAAACGGGGCGAGTCTGTACCTGAAAGATGCGATGGGGATGAATGCGTTACACTACGCTTGTCAGTCCAATATGGTTGAGACGTTCGACTTTTTTCAGTCGTGTGATTATAGTGAGGTTGGTGAAGTGAATGAAGAGGGCAACACATGTTTACATTACCTTTCACAACACCAATTTGGGGAAAAGCATGAAGCGTTTGTACAGTATTTGTTGTGTAAAGACTCCGCGTTATTGAACGTGGCGAATTACGCTGGCGACACTCCTCTACACTTTGCAGTGAATTGTTATCTGAGTGACACAGAGATCGGGACATATACAGTGAAGACGTTGGTCAAATTTGGAGCAAATTGTACATTAGAAAACCTTAAGAAGATTACTCCACTGATGTTAGCACAGCAAAAGGGAAAGATCGACATCATTAGCTTACTTGTTGTCGACGAGGTGTGTAAGCCAATTTCACCACAACCAAATCTGAAGTTAAATGCAGAGATCATCCGGATCAGAACAAACTCGGCTGAGGTCGCGGCGAAGAAAAGGGGAAAATCAGGGTCCCACAAGTTACCGTCTTCGCCAAGGCTCCTCCCTGCTTACTTAACAAAACAAACAACCCAACCAATTAAGTCTTCGCCTGTTGTTAATAAATGAAGACACTTGTTCGAGTTTTGTTTACTTCTTGCGTTGTTTTTTGTTTATAACACGAATGGTTATAATATTATAACACATGACTTCTTATGAACATCATATTAAACCATCAAAGGAAAAAACCAATGGACTACTCAACCAAAAAAAATCAGAGTTAGGCAATGTCGTAACAATTGGATTCGCCTTGTCACATACTTTCATGTGAAACTCACTCATCATATTTTTTGAACCTGTCGTACTGCCGAAACAGTACTGACAATACCCTCCAAGTTTATTATAACTTTAGATTAGTGTTTTTTCTTAAATTATGGGGTTTATTTTCCAACTAACTAATGATAGTAATAAAACTATATATATATAATTAAAACTATGTATATTATATATTAAAATAAATAGTTAAAGTATGCTTAATTATCCTCATCGACGACAGTAGAGAGTTGTTTGCTTATACCTCTTTCGTTAATGGCCAAAGTAAGTTGATACGCGTCGCTTCCGTTCATGTAGTATTTCAAAAGGAGTTGTTCCTTGACAAAGCCGAGTTTGACATACAGTGCCAACGAGCTTGTGTTTTCAGCTTCCGTCTCAAGAACAATTTTGTCGCACTTGTTGTTTATCATTGTTTGGAAGAGTTTCATGGAGAGTTGTGAAGCAATGCCTTTTCGTCTATACTCATTCTCGACACTCAACATGGCGAGGTATCCCTGCTCGATCCCATTTTGAGGGCTTTGCTTTCCAATGCAACAAGCGACGTACTTTTTTGTGTCTTCGTCTTTAGCCTTCAAATGAGGGTTTTTCTTTTCTGTTTATATATTAACAACTAAATAAGACAAACCAAAAAGCAAAGATTAGGCCAGTTGCGAAGAAAGTACCGATACGTGTAGATGGAGTACGGCTCGGACAACGTCCGTTTCATCAAGTCCATTATATAATCTATCTGACTCTCATCTTTGTACGTTTCTATGGTGATCTTCATCACTTGGAAAGTATTTAAGTTTATAGTTTTTTAGTTTTTCAAAAATAGAATAAAAAGTGGCTCACCCTTTCTCTTGCGACTTAAGTGCGTAATTTAGTTGTATTAAAAATATATACGCGAACTTTGGTAAAGGAGACATCACTCTTATTTGTTTGTGT